TAATTTTTTAATTAAAATCAAAATTATTTTAAATAATTATCTTTAAAATATAATTAAAACTAATTAAATTTATATTTTTTAGTTTAATTAATAATTATTAAAATTTAAAATTTTAATTAATTAATATTTTAATCTTAATTATAATCAAAATCCATACCCGCCCTAGCGTCTCTGATTTGATGTTCAACACCCTCGGTCCCCTTTCGCTGTTTTCTACGTTGTGGTAAAAATATGTGTAAAAATTTACTTTTGTTTTTTATTAAAAAATATTACACTCGAAAAAATTCACAGTTGTACGTCTTTTTTTTCTCAACATTTTTCTCTGCCATGGATTCCTGTCTCTCTCTCTTGTCAATATCATATCCCCGTTTGCTTTTTCTTCTTTTTTTTTTTTTTGAAAATAGGTAATGAACATAGCCCCGTTTTCAAGTTGTTAAATGGAATTGCCTTGCCATTCAACCTCATGCAGGCAAAGCTGAGCAGGGATCAACTTTCTGCAAAAGCAGAACAAATAGTGCAGAAGAAATAATTATTGGCCTATAAAAAACAAAAAATGACAGTATGTGACAGTGAAGAGAGATATAAAGTCTGAGCGAATGCAAATGTACAATTATTACCGGCGGCTGACACCGTAGACCGGTGAGGACCCATGTGAAATGTGCCCTTGAAATCTCTAGACATCAAAGGTACATTCACATTTAGAGATACGCTCTTCTATATATGTACTTGAACTTCAAGCACCTAAAAATGAATAAATCTAACGAAGAGTGAATGCATTTTTACTAGTAAAGTCATGTATTTATAAGAAAACTTTGATATTTTCATTGTGTTTAAATTATAAGGGGCAGCAGATTTGGATGGTTGCAAGCCTAATATTTTTCAACTCATCAGAAGATCGTTAGTTGATTTGGAAAATGCTTAGCAGCAAATTGATTTGGAAATGAAGACTCATTCTTTATTTTATCAATGCTTTGATTTTACCTTCTTAATTTCCAAGGAGGAGGTTCGGATCACCAGGATTTTCACAACCGTTCAACAAATATGCATACAAAATATCATTCCATGTATCATTTAGTTAATGCAAGCAAGCACCAGCGAACACAATCAACAAAATTTTCAAGATAAGATCTCTGTTCCTGTCAAGAGTTTGCCCTGCCATTCACCATAAACAGATATAAGCATCTTTCTAATCTTCTGACAATTGTGTAATGTTCAAAACTGTGATCTTTAGTTCTTGTAAGATGTTGCAAACTATCTCCATGATGGCAAGACTAGATCCAATTCCCCAGTATGATGCTTCTTGGATTGGATAGGTATTCACTGAAGGAGTCTCATTACCGCTTGGCTTCCATCCTTCCCCTTTGATGTATGCTGCAGTAGCAGCAGTGACATTCCAGAAAAAGCACAGAACCAATCCTGCATAAGGAAGAAATATACATTTACCATTCATAACATATGTCAATATTGATACTGATAAGCATAATGTCATGTATAACATCATGTATATAATTGAATGTATTCAGTCAATAAATATAATATACTGAAAATGAAAGGCTTAAAATAACCATATGGAAAATTAGAAATGAAAAGGCTTGCATAACTAAGAATGATGAAAAGGCAACGTACATCAACTTTTTTAGATAAATTAGTATATCATTACGAACAACTGGGGCAAATGGTGGCCCAATCGACAAAACAAAAAATTATAGATTGTCATGAATGAAAGGCTAATAGCCCATCAAAGGCAATAGAAACAGGTCACTACGTGGATATGATGAGTAACCAACAAAACATAACATCAAATGCTAGTTACCTCTTGCTAAAGCCTCTATTTTGCTTCACTTCCTGTGCTGTATTTCCCAAAGAAAACTTTTGAGTGAAAATTGTAAAAGTCTACACGTGTCAATTCAATCTCCTTGATATACCTCCTACTGCTGGTTAAATTCAACTTCCGTGGCCAATCTCCCTACCTTTCCTTTGCAATTCCTAGGATAATTTGAACATTCTAAATCAGAAAACCATAATCGCTGCTCAATTTCATAGAACAAGTGGGAAGAAGAAGCATGCATGGAGGTGGACTAAGGTAAATACACTAACCTTGGTGGGTCTAGTAACTATAGCAAGAGGGATTTCATGATTTGCATCACAACCATAGTTGAGAGCAACTGGTTTAGGAGGAAGAGTTGAAGGCATTGAAGGGTTCTACAAATTCACAATCATTGATCAATAATCAGAATAATATCATTAATATATATATATATATATCTAATTTTCATTTTTAGTAGAAAAGACCTTTCAGTATTTGTGCTTCTCTGCTGTCAATTGAAGTTCCTTCCCGTAACAATTTTTGGTAGGTTCATAGAAAGAAAATTTGATGGCATCTTCATACTTGTCTTCGCCCCATGAATTGAAAACTATCCCGCTTTTCCTACTAGCTTTACCATTAGAATCTCACTTCACCATTAAAATTAACATCATTAGCATCATCACCAAGTTCCCCACCTTCAACCGCTTTACGAGCATAAATCCATGCATCTGCAATAGGTAAAATGAAAGAAAGAAGAAAAATGTTAGTTAAAAGCATAAAATGTAGCTCCATTGAAAGAAAAGGTTAACAATCGGAAGCACTCCAATAATGTGTATATAAGAAACAATTTAGGCACTGAAGCAACCAAAAACCCAGAGGGAAAGGGAGACCTTGAGCTTGAGCTAATTGACTCAGCCATCAAAAGGTGGTTAATTTAAGCTATACCTAGAAACCAATTTATAAAGAAAATGTATAGATCACAAAAATGCAATAAAACCGAAAATTAAGAAAAAGAAAAGAAGTGAAATGAAATAATAAAAGAAAAACGTTGTTTCATCCATAGATATTAACCAATCTTATTACCCACAATTCTGTTGAACTTACTTTTTGAAAATTTTGGCCTACTAAATACAATTACCATCAAATAACCAACGAACAAAACTCTAGGGAACAAGCAAAAGAAAAAATGAAGAGAATGAAATGCAGTAAACAAGTCAAAATATACCTACTAGGAATTTATGAGAGCTGAGCAATTATTTTAAGCTGTAATTTTCCACCATGCCCTGCCTTTTCTGTTTTGGTGATTCCTAAACCGAACTCCCTTTACCGTTCACTACAAACTACAAAAATTATTTCCTTCTTGGGAACCATAAGAATCTAGGATTGCAAATGTTATAAAGAAAATGAAATAAAATAAATATGGTTTTCTAGGTAGGGAAAAAAACCTGCAAAAGTGGAACAAGGCCGGCAATGAAGGGCTGCCAAAGTGTTCTCTAATTCAATGCTTAAGTCAGCAAAGCAAGGGAATTTGAAATTATAACAATATATCAAACACGGAAGGTATTACAAAAATTACATTTCAAATTGATAATAGAGTAGAAATCCAATTAACACAACATGCTTGACAACTTAATTACAACACAAAACAAATTACCAGATAAAAACAGCACTAAACCAAGTCCATCCAATAAATAAAAGACACATAAATTGAAACAAAAACAAGATTATTTTCAATCAAATCAAGGAGTATTGGCCCTGACTAAGTCTCATTTTTCTTTTGCTTTGCTGCTCCACCAAGAGAAGTTGCCTTTGCTTGATAAAAGATCCTACATTCAATATCAGAGCTTTAAAATATGTCAGAATCTGGAAACAAGAGACCAACAAATCGATCCTAAGAAAAACTATAGGAATTGAAAGACATAAGGAGTGATGTAGTTTGATTCCATAGTACCAAACTAGTTTGCAAGATGTTGAGAAATCATAGTATATAATAAATATACACAAAACAAATGAAAAGATATAAAAAAAAAAGAAGAAATATTAATGTTCCAACCACGAATTTATTAGTTGATCATCTTTTCCTAAAATTTTAGAATAATAAACACAATTCTCATTTTGTTAACAATATGCTTTGTTGAAGCTATTTTACTCAGCGATCAAAAGAGGCTCAATTTTAGCTGCATATACCCAAAACTCAAGAAAGAGAATAAAATAACCAAATCGCGAACTTAAAAACACCAAAATTCAAAAAAATCAAATTAGGAAAGTGAAAGCACAACTTACATTATTGGAGTTGATGAGACATGAGAGAAAAGGATGGATGTATCTCAATCTCATCTCTTCCAGAATACCTCCTCTCCTACATCGGCTTTCTGGTCGTGTGTTGTAGAGGAAAGGCCTTAACTGCCACATGTTATTGTGGTTGCATGTGACTCATTATTTACACACATCTATTACTCTATAGTTATCTGTACAGAATTGAAGATTTCTTAAGGGCTGCCCTTGCAGATGAGATGACAGAAATTTTAAGCAACTAAACAATCAAATTCAAATTAGAAAAAATACTAACCATTCAATAATCAACTAATTCCAAGAAAGGTTGGAGTATGTTCTTAGCGTTAGGATAATCCCACTCCACCACTGATTCCCACCATTCTTTTGAACGTCTATCTATCGTGATGTTTGAGAGATGAGGAGGAGGAGATGGTTGGCCATTATTAAGCAGGGGAAGCTGCACAGGGATTCTCTTTAACTCAGGACATTTCGTTATCCAAATTCGTTCAATAGAATCACAAACCATGATTCCATTGGCACTGCAGATGCTCTTCAATTGGGGTAAGTTTGACAAATGAAAATCCCTTAACTTGGGAAAAGTGAAAGTGAATTTATCTGATGATGATGCATTTAAATTTGCTGAGGCTATTATCTCCTCCATTTGTTCACAACCAATAACCCAAATCACCTCTAAGTTTTGGAGGGCCTGCAGTAGCTCAAGTGCAAGGAACTGCTTCATTCCTGAACATCCATCTATTTCAAGTGTCTTCAAATTGGAAAAGAAGCATGGCGGTGTTGCTACTCCTTCCACTCTCATGAGTACCCACAGCCTAGGCAAATCCCAAAGATACAGATCTTCAAGCTTGTTGAGTAATGAGCTACATGATGAGGAGGAGGATGAGTCTAAGTTAACCACGTACTCTATCTCTTCACAATCACTAATAATACAAAGACCCAACTCGGATGCATTTTCTAACAAAGCTGTTTTGTTTAAGCTACTTCTCATGTTTTTACAGTTATGGATCTGCAAAAGCTGAAGGTTATCTGGAAGCACTATGCGTTCTTCTCCAATGTCACACCCACTAATTGTAAGTCTACATTTATATTTAGGCTCATCAATATCAATAGTATAGTTCATTTTTGTTCCCACTAGAAGCTTGTAAGCAATAAAACTCTGGAAATTTTTGAACTCACTCAGAAGATAATTGAAGTCTTGCATGTCATCAAAATTACATTCTAAAATCTCCAACTTGCTCAATCTAGCAACCTCTTCTAAATTTATCTTTAGACTGGTTCTTCCCCAATCACCTTTTGCCACCAAATACTGGAGACTAGATAATTTAGATAATATTCCTGTTGGAATCTCTTTCAAATCTTTACAAAATAAATCAAGATATTCAAGACTTACCAACATCTCCATGCCTTGAGGGACCACCTCAATTGCTGCCCATCTCAGATCTAACTTCTTCAATTCCACAATCTTCTCTAAGGAAGGCAAGCACTTTAACCTCTCGCACCCCCTCAACCGCAATGCAGAGAGATACTCTAACTTAGACATGGAACTAGGTAAAGCTTCAATATTGGTTCTAGAAAGATCAAGAACCTTGAGTCCAGTCATATCTTCAAAAAGGGATTCTGGAATCTTTGTCAAAGGATTGTCTGATAATATCAAAGTTGACAAGGTTGGACACTTTGGAGTCAAACTAATAGGAATTTCTGAAATGTAATTGGCCATTAGAGATACCTTGTTAAGATCAATTGCCCACCACTCTTGCTCATTTGGCACCTCTGTCAATTTCCTACCAGCTTTGACCATATATCCAACTCCAGAACCAATGCTTTTGATAGCCATGTCTCTCACTACATCATGCATCTTAAAAATATTAACAGCCCTGTTGACAGTTTTCTCTAACAAGCAGTTTTTTTCAAGCCTATTCAAGAAAACATCAGCTCTATCATAAGCATCTTGTCTTTTTTCTGACTCATGAATCAGTCCTTCATCAATCCAACCTTCTATCAACTCTTCTCTAGAAAACTCATAATCTTCTCGAAATAAGGAGCAATATAGAAAACATTTTTGGATTTCTAAATTTCTTAGACGGTCATAACTAAATCTTAACCGCCCAAATATCTTTTCCTCCATATCATTCACACTTTTTACGCGTTGGCGTAAATCATTTAGTGCATTTCTCCACTCTACAATATTAGGTTCACCTTCTCCCTTCATGCCCCCTGCTATTACAACAATTGCTAGTGGTAAACCGGCGCACTCCTCCACAATAAGCTTCAAAATTTCTTCCAATCCTGCAACTTGTAAAACATCATGTCCAACCTTGTTGAGGAATAGATTTAAAGACTCCTCAGCTGAAAGAGGCTGCACTTTAATAATCTTACAACCCAAATAGTTGCATACTTGAGCTGATCTACTGGTGATAACTACTTTGCACCCATTTTGGGGTGTTGGTTCTGGGATTCCAACATCATTGAAAGAAAAATTGTCCCATACATCATCTAATATTAGCACAAATCTCACTCTTCCCATTATCTCCATTAGTTTTGCTACCCGCCTCATCTGTTCCTCATCTTCTCGGAGTTTCACATCCATAGCATCAGCAATCTTCTTTTGTACTTCAAAAACATTGAAAGGGTATGATACAGTAACCCAAATCACTTTTTGAAATCTATTCTCCCTCAACAAATCATTGTTAACATGCTTCATGATTGTAGTCTTACCAACTCCACCAATCCCACAAACACCAATCGTTCTAACCTCATCACCCATCAAGTACTCCCAAATTCTTTCTTTAGTAGAAATTTCACCCTCTAGATTCTCTGTTGGAATTATGCTTCCAGGAGCTGGTGGTCTAGCAATTACAAGGCCTCCTGTAAAACTACCTTGTTCATGGATTTCTTTTACCTCATCAAATTTTCTACGAACATGTTTCCCAAGACAAGCTTTTCTGTACCATTTAACTCTCTGTGCCTTGTCTAAAATAGCTTGAACTTCATCATTGATGGTTTGTGCACGTTGGATCCAGCCTTGCACTTCTTCTTTCACCATTTCTCCCGCACGAGCCTCTGCTTGTATTGTGGATTCTATATCACTTTTTCGTCTATTTAGATCTTCCAATTTAGCTCTCAACTTATTCACATCTTCATCAAAATTCTTGTAATGATTTACATAGTTGCATGTTGGAGTGGCAAAACAATTTACTATTTCAAGGAGTGGGCCCACAACATCCGCCATTAAGAAAAGGTGCTGCAATTGTAATGAATAACAGAGATCAACATGTGCTTCTTCGGGTGTTCATCAAAAGAAAATCTGGATCATAACCTATATCTATATCTATTTATATATTATATAAAATGTTACTCATACATCAATTCAGATCTAAATATATATATATTTATCTTTTTTCCTTGTAATTTTGTGTTAAATGCAATTCCTCCCTTAATAATTTGTGTTAAATGCATTAATTTAACATTTTATCTTTTATTTGACCTTTAGTATATTGTATTTGAAAAGTATGGATGGTGTTTTATTTTTCATTATATTTGTAAATTACTCCTAGTTGAAATCTTTTCACTTTTTTATTTACTGCTTCATTTTTTTTAACATTTTAAATTTATTTACTTTCAAAGAATAAGTTGAAAGAATACATTTGATTTTAGACACTTATTCTTAATTAAATATTTTCCTTAATCCAAGGATAAAAAAAACTAAAATTTCATTTACTTTCATGGCTTATTTGGTAGCGTGAGTTTGAAAGGAGTGTATTTGAATTTGGGGTTACAAATTAAAATTCATTGTTAGTTTTAACCTAACAAGAGTGCATTTGAAATTTAATCTAAATACACGTATTTTACCTTGTGTGTTTTGAAGACTAAAAAGCGTGTATTATTTTGAATACCTTATCATACCCACGAATTTGACGTTGGATTTCAAATTCTTTGTTTATTATCTACGTCTTCCTTTGCAATGAGATAGTTTCTCTTCGATGAAGCGTCAACGATCGCATTCAAAATTGTATATTCTATCTTCAGACTCTATTCACCCCTTGTTTTTACTGCTCTGTTTGTCTAGGCCGATGTCGATTGAGTTGAATTTGCTGAGCAAGTGGTGGTGGACGCCAAGTTGCTCATGGAGGGTAGTTTATTGGTGGTGATATTGATGCCTCTGTAAACTTGTATTTTATTAGAGTTAATGAACTGAGAATGGGCAAAGTGGGTAGTGGCCAAGCCAAGGGAAAGGAGGGACTTCTCACTACTGTTAGCATCCATGATGACCACAAGCTTGTCTTTCTAGCATTGGGTAATGGTGATGAGGTAGTAGAGTTCATACTGGGCCATCGTGGGCGATGGTGGCTACGGTGATGGAGGTGGGTGGAGGAGTACTAAAATAATGGATGAGTGATTTTCATACGAGGATGTGGAAAGGACAGAGTGGCTGTTGTTTTTGCTAAGTCATGCTTAAACATGTACTGAAGCAGCAACTTTATTTTGAATTTTGATAGGGTACTTCAAAACAAAGGAAGGGAAATAGGGAAAATGGCATGCACAACTAAAAATGCCTATTAAGTGTTTGTAGAAATGTCTTAAAGAGAGTCATTAACATCAAATCAATTTCAAATTCATGGCCCATTTAATTTACCAAACTGTGTAATTTAATAAGTGATTAAAATACATGTATTTAAATTACATGTGTTTTAATTACATGTATTTAAATTACACTCATTAAATTCAAATTCGAGTTCCCAAACATGAAAGGGTGCATTTTAAATTGCTTCTTCCACCCTTAATTCTCATTGCATTTCTTAGATGGATTGCTGAAAGTCATCCATAAGAATTGAAATGAATTGAAGCCAGCTATTTGTGAAAATAAAAGATGAAAATAGCCATGATTAGAATTTGTGCAAGGAATTTGTATTTAAGGGGGTCTAGATTTTTAAATATGTAAAGATACATGCAATAACAATAGGGAAAAAAAAATTAAAATACTTAAAAATGAAAAAAATTACTATTCGAATTTGAAGTACCCCTAAAAAACAACACACAAGATTTGTGCTTTGGTACGAATAAAGATATAATATTTCAAAAAAAAATTTTAATTAAGGATATGAATTTTTATCTTTAATAATCAAGACTATTATTTTTCAAAAGTTTTTAATTAAGAATATTATCTTTGTTAACGGAAGAGACTTCTGCCTTTAGTCAATGAGAAAGCCAACTGAAGGACTTAAGGACTTACTGTCTGGACATACGACGTCCTTAATTAGATGGTGCAGCAAACCTGGTCAACCAATATTAAAGCTATTTTAGGTTAGGCTGAACTTTCTACTCTAATAGGTATGTGTAAGTCAAAGGCAATCATCTCACTAGAAAAAGTTTTAGAGATTTTTCATTCTTCAATTAGAAGGAGGGTTGGGTTGTGTTTGGATGCATTTTACCATTCATTTTAAAATTTAAACCAGACTGGTTAGATTAATTTGTTCAATTAGAATCAATTCTGATAACAGTTTGGATTAATGCTTGGTTTTGAAGTACTGGCTTGTAGCTTTAGATTTTTTGGTCTTTTAATATTTCAAAAATATATAAGATATATTTAAGGGGATATTGTTTATCCGCTTCACTTTTTAAAGATTAAGAGGAAAATTATCTCAAAATTACGTTATTTCAATAAAAAATTATAAGAAATGACAAAAAATACTTTATTCATACTTTAAAAATATGATATTTTAATTTTTTTTAATGATAATTTATTAAATGGATGTAATTTTGAAATAGTTTTCCTCCTGATCTTAATAAAGTAACACAGATAGACACTATTTCTTATATTTAATATATCTAAAATTTATTTTCATTATATTTTATATAATTTTAAGATAATAAAAAGACAAAAAAAATAAAAAATTAAAGCACCAAAAAATATCTCCAAACTAAGCCTAAGATATTATCTTGATGGTTGTCAAAATCTAGTCAGCACCTGCTCAAATTCAACCAAATTCAATCAAACTCAGTCAAATCTAGTAAAACCAGAACAACACAAATTGGTTCATATGTTTCCTCCTTTTTTTTTCATTTTTCTTTAATCTTTTATTTATTTATTTTATAGATAGTATAATAATTAAAATGTAAAAGGTTAAAAGCTCATTTTGGTCCTTGAACTATTGTACGGACTACTAATTTAGTCCTTAAACTAAAAAAATCCCTGATGTAGTCCCTATTGTTTATGATTTTAACCCTGATTTGGTCCTTCCGTTAAATATTTGCCTATGTGTCCCGTTACTTGACGGGAAAAGGATGACATGCAAAAGCATTTTGACACCTAGGATGTACAATGTGGCAAAAAAATGAGATGGCAAGAAAAGACCTTAAAAAATTTCTTTTTTTTTTTCTTTCTTTGTTTTTCTTTTTCCCTTTCTTCTTCCTTTCCCTTTCCTTCAATCTTCTGCAAACCCTAACACTTCCTAATATTAAATCCAAGGATAACACAACAAATCAACAAATCAAACTCAATAGATCCTTCGATCCAACTACAGTTGGGTTGAAAACAGAACTCAACACTTGTTGGGTTCGAAATCGAACCCAGCACCCTGCAAGAATCTGAGGATAACACAATAGACAACAAATCCATAAATAGATCGAACTCAATAGATCCGTCGACCCAACGGCTGCTGAGTTTGAAACAAAACCCAACAGACAATAGATCGATAAACAAATTGAACTCAACAAATCCATCGACCCAACGATTGCTGGGTTGAAAACGGAACCCAGTGCCTACTGGGTTTGAAATCGAACCCAGCAGTCCAGCACCTGCAGGAACCCATGGGCTGCTGGGTTCGATGCTGGGTTCGACCCCTGGGTTCAAAATCGAACCTAGCACCTATAGGAACCCAGTAGCTGCCTCGCCTTCTTCATCTTCATCCACCTGCAGGAACCTAGTGACTACCTTGCCTTCTTCATCTTCATCAATCAATTTCTCATCATCATCAAACAACAAAATCCAAACAAAGAAAACAGAAATTTTTTTTTGTTTTGCCCCTGGGTTTGATGGAACCCAGCGCTTGGGTTCGATAGAACACAGGGTTGGCTCCCAAGGAACCCAGGAACACGATTCGATGGAACCCAAGGTTGGGTCCCAAGGAACCCAGTGCCTGGGTTTCATCGAACCCAAGCATGCTGGGTTCGGTGAGAGGGCGAAGGG